CACACACACACACACACACACACACACACACACACACACACACACACTGGCTTCTTTGGTTTTGCTCCTTGGCCTTTTTTGTTAAGATGGAATATTTCATTTCCTTTTCTAGAGGCTGGAGCCATGGCTTAGCAGTTAACAGCAAGTACTGCTCTTGCGGAGGGCCAGAGGTTGGTTCTCAGCACTCACATCCTGAAGCTAACAACTGTTATCCCTTCAACGCCAAGGCATCCAACGCCCTCTTCTGGGTTCTATGAGCAACTGCACCCACACACAGGAACAAACACACACTGAATTGGTTTTAAACATAAATAAATCTTTAAAGAAAAAAATTTAACTTGCAGAAAAATTAAATTTCTCTCTCTCTCTCTCTCTCTCTGTGTGTGTGTGTGTGTGTGTGTGTGTGTGTATGTATGTATGTGGAAATCAGAAGACAACTTGGGGGAGCTGGTGCTCTCCTTTTACCATGGGAGCCCTGGCGAATAGGCTTTTACCCACTAAGCCATCCCACTGTCCCATGGGCTTTTCTCTTGACAGTGGTGGACATCTGACAAAGGGCAGACCTGACTGGTCCCAAAGACACCAGTGTTCGACTTCTCTTTTCTAGATAGGGAGCCAGTCTTCTGTGTCACATGTATGATTCCCAAGTGGGCCAAAAGGCACGAGTGAAGGTCTGTCCAGATTGTCTATTAATGGCTTCACTCTCTGTCCCCCAAGAGGGACCTGTGAGTAACTGCCTTAGAAAAAGGGACCACAGCCTGGGCCAGCACAGGAGACTCCCTATTCTCAGGCTCACTAGATTACTAGGCTAGCCCTTGCAAGAAAATTAAACTCCATCCATTCTCTGACTCAGCTTCTAGTTTTCTCACTCTGCTTTCTGTATGTGGTTGAAGATGCGACCCTTCAGCTTCTTGTTCTGACTGCCTGCTGTCATAGTTCCTGGCCATTTTCAGTTATCCCCATGGAACAACAAACCAAACAAACTTTTCTGTAAGCCACTTATTT